ATTTACTCCACTTTAATCTAACTTTGAAGATCTAAATGAACTCTAAGAGCAATGGACAGTATGTCACAGACCACCAATGAGCAATAAGGGAACAGTGAAAACGAGTAGAACCTCCTCAGGAATTGGGAAGATGTAACATAACAAAAGCATAAACACTGAGTTTGTCTGGATGCTTATCCTGAAACTCAACAGACTTTTCCAGCACTCTAAACCCCAGAAGGATGGACTCAGGAAATGGGAAAGTTAGACTTTCCAGATAAGGAAGAAGGTTGTCTTCTTCTGCTGGTCTTGTGGATCTGGGAAGACTGACAGCAGTCCCTGTGTTTCAGGGAGTGATGGTTTTTCATAAAGTCCTCTTGGCACTATCATCATCTCTGAGCTGCAGACTATGCGATCACACATGTACAAGGGTCTAGAAAAAGGTGGAATCTCACTGGACAATCATGACAAAACCCCAAAGTCTGAGAACTTTGAACAGCAGACATTGGTTTCTCATGGCTCTGGGGACAGAAAATCAGATCAGGGTGTCCACAATGGTGAGATCCATTTGGGGGGTGGGGGTTGTAGTCAGCCTCCTTCTCATTGTGGGAGAAGGGAGGACAGGCTGGCCCCAGCTGGTGATGCTGGGAATAGAGCAGCTCAGAGACATTGACTGACACTGTCACCTAATCCAGAACCCCTGTACTACCTGCACATCAGGTTTGCATGTGTGTCTCACTTTTAGGGTCTCACTGTCCTGGCCCCTTCGATTCCTCTGCTCTCTGCCTGACTTGGCCTTTCCCTGCTCAGTGGGTCCCATGTCCTCGGGGCTCCTGTGACTGCCTATCCAGGGAATGACTCTACCCACATCTTGCCATTTCTCTGCAGTGGTTGATGGGGCTGGAGCAGTAGCACAGCAGGTAGGGCATTTGCCTTGCACATGGCCAACCGGGAGCCGAACCGAGTTCGATTCCTCCACCCCTCTCGGAGAGCTCGGCAAGCTACCGAGAGTATTTTGCCCACATGGCAAAGCCTGGCAAGCTACCCGTGACATATTCAATAATGCCAAACACAGTAACAAGTCTCACAATGGAGACGTTACTGGGCCTGCTTGAGCAAATCGATGAACAACAGGAGGACAATGCTACAGTGCAGTTGATTGGTAACCTCCACCCCCCTCTTCTCTGCACGCTGCTCAGTAGCTCCAGCATTCCACCACTCACCAACCCCTCCACCCTCCATCCTTGGGCCTTCCATCAAGGTCTGTGCCCCTCAGGGTCACATCGTCCTTGTCACATTGATGCCTCCCATGCTCAGTCTCCATGGCTGTGCTGGACTCCTCCCGCCAGTGTCCTATGGCATGGGCATTGGCATTCATATGGGTGCCTCCATGGGAATGGCGATTTCTCAGTCACTCCTCCTGCCTTGCTCTCCTGCATGCAAATGGGAATGTGGGTGTCTATTTTAACAATTGCTCACATGCCAGGCCCATGCTTTTTTCTGGTCTCTATTCTGAATTTAGGGGAGCATACCAAACTTGGAATTCCTGGCAGGAAAGTCCTTGGTTTTAAAGAGTGGAACAAGCTTTATCTGCATACCATACAAAGATCTTCTTATGATGGATCAATTTAAATATATTGAGAAATCTTTATGCTGTTTTCATTTCTTGGACCAATTTCTATTACCACCAACAGTACAAAGAGTTACTTTTCCTACCCATTCCCGAGAGTGTTGTTTCTGGTCATTTGGATAATGGTCATTCTTGCAGAATTGAATGATAGCTCTACTATTTCATTTGCATTTTCCTGATAATCAGTTGATAATGAACATTTTCTTTTTATGTGCCTTTGCCCATAATCTGTGTATCTTCTTTGAAGAAGTGTCTGCTCATTTTAATAGGCTGTTTTAATTTATCGCTGAGTTTTGTGAGATTATACATGTGTGTATATATTATATATAGTATATTAGCCCTTTTATGATACAGTATGTGAATATTTCCTCCACTTAATTTTAGTATAATTTGTTTCCTTGTCCTTTTTCATTTGATGCTATCCTATTTATTTATTTATTTATTGGTTTTGGGGCTGCACCTAGCAGTGCTCAGGGATTATTCCTGGCACTGTGCTCAGGAATCACTCCTGGCAGGGATTAGGGAGCCATATGTGGTACCTGAGATTGATTCTGGGTTGGTCATATGCAAGTCAAGTACTCTACCTGCTATACTATTTCTCTGATCCCACTTATTTATTTTAATTCATTTTTTACTAAGGCACTATGATTTACAAACTCATTTATAGTTGAGATTTAGGTATACAGTATTCTAACACCAATCTTTTTTTTTCCTTAAATTTTTATTAGTGAAACACCATGAGGTACAGTTGTAGACTTACAAACTTTTGTGCTTGGGTTTCAGTTATATAATGATCGAATACCCATCCCTCCACCAGTGCCCATTCTCCACCACCACCAGTCCCAGTATCCCTCCCATCCCCTCTTCCCCCATCCCACCCTACCTCTGTGGCAGGGAATTCCCTTTTGTTATCTCTCTCCTTTTGAGTGCTGTGGTTTGTAAAAGAGACACTGAGTGGCAATCTTGTTCGGACTATAGTCTACTCTCATCACGCATCTCCCATCCTAAGAGAAACCTCCCAACACCCTTTATTTGGTGCTCCCTTCTCTATCTGAGCTGCCTTTTCCCCTAGCATGTGTGGCTGTCCTCAAAGCCATGGAGTAATCCTCCTGGTACTTATCTTGGCTATTCTTGGGTGACTAACACAAATCTTAATACCAGTGTCAACTTCCCTCCACTGGTGTCCCCAGGTTCTCTTTCACACCCCAGCTTACCTCCTTAACAGACACATTTTTCAGTTTGATAATTATAGTTTGGATCATATGCATCTACTGTTGTTGGTTCCATAGTTTAGATTTATAGATAACCCCCACTTATATATCACTGATGTGATCGAGATTCTTGACTTCACTACTCCCTTATTTATTCCCATGAACCTCTTCCTGTCAGCCTCTAATTACTCTTCCCCCCATTTCTCTCCTTTTCTGGACTTTCCATTTCTATAGTTTAGAGCCAAGGGTTTGAACTACAGCACAATTTGCAACAACTAAAATTAAGGCAACAACCCAAATGCCTGTTTATGTAAACACAGTGGATTTACTATATGGAGGAAACTGGAATATCATAGCACTGTAGCATTGTCCTCCAATTGTTTATTGATTTGCTCAAGTGGGTACCAGTAATGTCTCCATTGTGAGACTTGTTACCGTTTTTGGCACATCGAGTATGCCACGGGGAGCTTGCCAGGCTTTGCCGTGCGGGAGGGATACTCTCGGTAGCTTGCCAGGCTCTCTGAGAGGGACAAAGGAATCGAACCCAGGTCGGCCGTGTGCAAGGCAAATGCCCTACCCGCTGTACTGTCACTTCAGTCCATGGAATATCATGCAAAACACAATATGCCAGAAGGAAAAAGACAAATAACGAATGATCAAACTCATATGTGGGATATAGAGAAGCAAATCAGAGCCAAACAAAGCCAAACAATAGCAACAAAACCCACTGGCCTCTGGTCACAGAATTGAGGTTCCTATGGGTGGTGGAGGCATGTTGATAATTTGGTGGGGGTGAAGTGTGGTATGGTAACCTGCATTTTGGAGAGATTTGAAATTGTACCCCTAAAACATATCTAGTATCATAAACCACTAATACTTAATGAAAAAAAATAAAGTGCTTGCTCATCATCTCACACAGTCACTTACAATGAATTAAATTCATTTTCTACAACAATTTGGAAGATAATTGATTATAAAATGTAACCACACCTACATATATTCATAACAAAATAAATCTTTTTCGCTTTTCCCCTTTTTTACACAAATTTTCTCTATATGCTTGTTTGCTGTTTGTTGACTTGTGGGGGTGTCTGACAATTGTCAGTGGACAAACAGGAGTGGTGACCCAGGCCATTAACAGTTTGTGGAGGAAAAACTGAGTTGAAAAAATTTCTGCATTTTCTGACTAGTTACTTTCAGTGGGTTCCATGGATGAGAGTGAAGAGTCCTGTGGGACACTGGTGTGTGAGCCGTCAACGGGCCACCATGTAAGGAGGGAGCACTTATGAGAAGAGAGCAGAACAGGACTGGTGACCTGGTGGCACTGAATCTCTGCTGGAGGATTGTCACATGAAGTCTACAAGGAAGAATCCCTGGAACCTCCTTCCCCTCCACCTCTTTCTCCTTCCCTCCAGCTTCATTTTTGGAAGATGCACCATCTCTCTGAAATGTTCCCCCTCTTCATGTGGAGAACTTCAAATGAACAAAGAAAGAGGCCCATGGCTCTGCCAATGAGCATGCAGCTGAGTTTGGGCACTGATAACCAGGTCCTGGCAGTAGGAACTTTATTCTGTGTCTGTGTAGCAGAGATTGCCTGGTTTGGCTTGGGGGCAGGAATAAGGCCTGGGAAAAATGCAGGCTCAGAGGGATAGTATAGTGAGCAGAGCATTTGCCTTGCACGTGGTTGACTGAGGTTGATCCCTGGCATACCATGCAGTTCTCTGAGCAGCACCAGGAATGATCCCTGAGTGCAGATTTCAGAGTAAGTCCTGAGAACCACCAGGTATGGCTCAAAGACAGAAAAAGAAAAGAAAGAAATGAAAGAAAAGAAAAGAAAAAAAGACCCAGGAATGTTGGGATGAAGAAAAGACCAATTTTCCTTTTCTCACATATCAGAGTAGAACGACCTCATGTGAGGATGTGATAATGCATTATTAAGCTTTGTTCTGCAGTATGTTTGACTTTTAGGGGAAGCATGCCTGCATTGGAAAGTGTGTCAGTGGTGACCAGCAATGAGCCTTTTAATGTTAATCCCCTACATTACCTTGAATAGATAAACAGCTATCACTGCTTTACTGTCCTCCTGCATGAGTTTGTGCTTAATCACGTGTGTATGTGTTATACAGGACGCATGACCTGAATTATTTGTGCATCAACTGTGATCTTATTGTTTTCTACAGGAGATGCAGGTGACAAAGGACAGAAAGGCAGTGTGGGTCGCCATGGAAAAATCGGTCCCATTGGTTCTAAAGGTATTTGTGATGCTCTTCTGCTCCCCAATCAATTCCAGGCTTTCAGGCTCTTGGACTCATTGCAGACTGAATGGTCCTGTGGTTGTCTTGTTGACTTTTGTGTGATGAATTTTAGAGATTCTGACTCAGTGTCTGCACCTGGGGACCCATCAGTTTGCTGCTGTGTGTCATTGAGCATTTGGGGGAAGAATGCATGTTCTTCACTCTGCAGTATCTATATATTTCCTGACTATCATAAAACCACTTGAGGCAACAGAATAAGAAAAAACTCTGGAAACCCTACCACAATTAGGGGTACCACCTTCAGCCTTGGTGTCAGACGCGTAAGACTCTAGTGATTCTCAGTGAAACGGGGGCACAGGAGATCAAGAGCAGGCTTTCAGGCTTGAAGGCAGAGCAGGAGTGACCATCTGCCTGCCCTGGCTAAACTTATTTTTCTTGCAGCCTAATTTGACCTGCATAGCGATGGAGGTGGGCATGCAGAAGATGGTGCCCAGGGCTATTGGAGATACTAAGGACTCCTATAGCCATTCTCCTTTCCCTGGTTACTTGAGAAAGTAGCAAAGCTTGTCCATGTCTTGGCCTGTTTATATGTGTGATGGGCTTTGGAGTTCAGGGTGAAGAGAGCAAGCTGCCACCATGCAGTGGGATGTTCGTGGTGCCAAGAAGGTCACTCTACAGTCCTATCATGGGCATGAGGAATGGGAGTTTGGAGGCCAGGGAAAGTCAGTGGCTGTCAAAGCAGGGGCACTTGGAAGGGCCAAGAGAGGAGTGAGTGTAGTCTGTCCAATGTGGGTGTCATCTCTTGGACCTTATTAACTTGTCTCAGGGACTTGAATTGTAAATTCAAAAGTAAATTTGGCCAATTTGTTCTGATAGATGGTCATGGAACCCCCTTCCCTGCTTGCTCTCCACCCTAACTCCAGCTACAGTCAGTCCTGCACCAGAAGGGGACACTTGGCCCTTAGGGTTGGGGTGACCAGATCAGCAGTATCAGTCCTCCTGAAAATCCATGGAAAACACCTACCCATGGGCGGCTGACTCACTAAAAACTGTACAGGCTGTGTAAAAAGAAATCAGCATGCTTAAAAACTCAAAAACATTTGTGGAAGAATGTTCATAACATGAAAGCTGCAATTTAAACTAATTTAAAGAGTGCATTCAGTGGCATTAGGTACATTTGCAATACTGTACATCTGTTACTGTCATCCATGTCAACATTTTTTTACATTATACCAAAAACTCTACTCATGTAGCATTAGCTCATCATTCCCTCTCCTCCAGTTCTTGGCACTAATCCTTATTCTCTCCAATCAGTTTACCTATTACAGAGATTTTGTATAAAATGAATGATGTAAGGTTTTCTCTTCAATTTTCGGTTTACTTAGTACAATATTTTCAAGTTCATCTATGTTGTAGCACGTGTCAGAATTTTCTTCCTTTTGGGGGATGAGTAATATTCCATTACAACAGAGAGAGCATGTATTATTGATTCATTGATCTGTTTCGGGCCATCTGGGTCATCCTCACCTTTTAACCATTGTGTAGAATGCAGTGGATACCCACACTCTGGGTAGGGACATGTGTACTTTTTAATAGGTGCCATGTGCACTGGATAAATTCCAACATCTCGCCAGGGGACAACTTGCCAAGAAGACCCTAATTTGGCTGAGCTCACTTGATTCACTTCAGCTCTGAGACTGTCTTCCTGGCTCTCTGTCAAGCTGAACTTTCAGTCATTTCCAGCCCCTAGTGTTCATAAAAGAGCACAAAGGAATCAGTTGGGTGGAGAGCGCCAAGCTCTTTCCCTCCCTGCGTAAAGGCAAGATGAGGCTCCAGATGGAGGAGTCACGGCGCCTCATGGGCCGGTGCCAGTGGAGACACAGGTTCCTTCAGGGAGAAGGAAATAATGTTTCAGGAATATTCATGTGAATTTAATATAAATATTCACTATCTAATTTTAGAGTCGCTAGAGAGCTTTTTTGCCATTATTTTGGCAAGGGGGGTTATAAAACCCCTAGTTTTATAAGTAGAAAGAAAGGGAGGGGAGGAGGGACTCAATGTCAATGCCCTGATTATTTGTTTTTTTTTTTTTTAATTAAACCACCGTGAGATACACAGTTACAAAATTGTTCATGATTGGGTTTTGATTATTCAATGTCCCAACACTCCTCATCCCTTTCACCAGTGTACATTTTCCATCACCAACGTCCCCAGTTTCCCTTCTTCTACTTCCCCACCTCTAGTCTGCCTTTATGGCAGGCAATTTTCTTTTCTCTCTCTCTGCCCTTATCTTGTGGTGGCCATTTACTCCTGGGACCCTGAGCCACCTGTCAGCAGGCAGGAAGACCTTGGCACTCATAATGGGATCACCAACATAGTTTATTATTTTGCTCTGGTTTCTGAGGTCCACAACAGCCTGGCATAACCTGTTCTATCTGAATTTTCCTGCTCCAGTGAGGAGCAAGGAGAGAACAGACAGGAGATTTAGCTGCTACTTTGTGATGTTAAGGATTCATGAGATGAGATCGGCATAGTGTTTCCATCAAAGCTCTGGAATTTCCCAGAACGGACCCAAGAATTCTCTTTTAATAGTACCTAAAACCTTGGTGGTGGGGAGTAAGGGTGGGGTCCGCTCTATATCATATAAAGTCTGAAGATCTATTTGTAGAATGCAACTCCCCATGGTTCATGGCATAAAGAGAGTCTGGAGGAATTCCATAACAGGTAAAAGAAATAACACTGTTAGCCTTGATTTTGTTCTTAAGAGTCCACAGGGCCATGCCTGGTGGTAGACAGGGAGCTGGGGATTGAGCCCAGGGCCTGGAGATGTAAAGGCATCTGCTCTACCACCTAAGCTCTACCCCCAGTCCCTTGACATTTTTGAATGCATGAGACATGTGCCACCATTGAATGATGACTTTCACCTACCTTGCTTTTCTCCTTTTTAGGTGAAAAAGGAGATTCTGGTGACATAGGACCCCCTGGTCCAAATGGAGAGCCAGGTATGGCTTAAAAGTTTCAAGGATTTCTTCTTCTTTCCTTTTGTGAAATGAAGGTAGCTTTGGCTCACAATATTGTGCAGATTTCAGGAGCACTTTCTCACACCTCTTCAAAAATAAGTTCTCACTTCATATTCACAGCCAAAGCACTGAACTTCCTCCATGACTGTCCACTGGGGTCTCTCCACCCTGGATGCCTGCAGTTCAAGGATTTTTAAAAAATGTATGAAAATGGCACATTTGAAAAGAAGTGTGAATCATGAAATAAATCTGAAATTAGCTGGGAAGAGAGGTGACATATAGGTGACACAGACTCCATAGCTGGCTGTGTCAATGTTTGATTTCCTTTGGCCTGAATATCTTTGTGTCCTTCTGAGGCTGCAGTCTGCCTGCTGCCATTAATCCTCTGACACACAGAATTTGGCTCACCTATCCAGAGCATGCTGTCTTGATTTCTGGCACCTCTCTGGATACCGCAGGACCCCCCCTTTACTGGAGACCAAACTTTTCAGAGAAGCACCTCTGCATTCTAGGATTTTCCTCATGCTGCATGTCTCTGCAGCCAACTCCCTATGACCCTCTGATGAAGCTCCTCCAGAGGCTCATGGAGGCCCTGCCTCACCCTAGGGCCTCTCCTAGCCCCCTGCTGACCACCCCTTTTGGTGCTGACAGTAGTGGAGGGTGGGGAGCTGCTCAGCTGTGTTCTTTTTATTCATTGTGGAGCTTGTCTGTGACCTTCTCTCCTTTGACCAAGTGGCCACAACCTTTTCTACTCCCAGGCATGTCACAATCACTTCCAAGGTAGTCGTCAGTCCAGCCCTGCAGACCCTCACCTGTCTGACACGACCTTCCATGGGGGTTGCGCTGCCTGATCGTACTTAATGTGTGGCTGCTACTCTAATCATCCTGCTCAACCATTCCCTCGAGCTTCCAGTGTAACCTCCCCCTCACACACACTGCTGGACAGTTTTGCTGCCTCCTGCTAGAATGACTGGCACAGTTATCCTTTCTGTTCTGCCCAGCACACGTGACCTCCCAGACAGGTCACCGAAATACATCCCACCTGAACCAAACCTCCCTGGCCACTTTCCCCATCCACTGTCTGTATGAATGAAGATGTGCTGACAACTGCAACATGCATCAAGGCTGGCTGAGTGACCCACTGTGGGGATCAGGCAGCAGAGTGGAGAGAGCAAGGTGGGCTTTCGTGACCAGCTCCAAGATACGTCATCAATAAGGATGGCGAGGACGGGGCAGAGAGATAGCTCAATGGGCTGAGCATTCCACTGAACCAGGTTCAATCCCTGGCACTGCATGGTCCCTCAAGCACCACTGAGAGCACTCCCCAAGCTCAGAGCCACAAGTAGGCCCTGGGCACTGCTGGGTATAGTGCGAAAGATGGGTAATGGTACGAGATGAATTAGAAGACATGGTGTTTGCATAACTAGACTTTCTTCCAGCCAGACCCCCTGATGCCCTTTGGTACAAGCCATCAGCGTTTCAGTCCTGAAGAAACACAGTGTGCTCCCCAGTCTCTGGTGGTACCTCTCACTTTCTGACTGATGTGTCTGTAGGACTGTCCGCATCCAGGGGCTGAGCCCGCTGTCCCTCACCCCTGCTTCTCTTGCCTTTGTGCACATTCATCTAAGTAGTTCCCTTCAGAAGCAGTTTCCCTCTGAGAAAGTTCTGACCCTGAGAACTAGGATGAAAACAGAGGCATTCGGTTTCTGAATTTAAAAAGTCCAAACCTGCCAAACTGGAGGGGGAGGGATGGCTGCATGAGAAACAGCTTTGCTGGAATGAACTCTGGTACTGGAGGGAAAGCAGTGCTTCCTGGGCGGGGTGGAGATGAATGGGGTGGGGATGGGTGGGTGGGAACCCTAGTGCTTGGTAGCACTGACGGTGGGACCAAGGGCACAGTACCCTGATGCAAAGGGGACTTTTGCAAAAGGGACTGGTAGGGCCCAGGCAGGTTTCAAAATATGAAAGGAAGACAAGGAAAGGAAATCATTGCTCTGGGAGGAATTGTTCTGGAGGCTTCCATGCCTCAAACACCAGCAAGCATTCATCCCATCATCCTCAAAATATTCTCCACTTTTTCTACCTTAAAGCAGTGTTCTGAAGCCCCCCTCCCTCTCCCATCCCCCCAAATCTACCTGCCTCCTGAGCTGCCTTTCCCTTGGCTCTCCCAGAACTGCCTTCCCCCAGGGTCTCCATCTCCTTCCTTCCTTCCTTCCTTCCTTCCTTCCTTCCTTCCTTCCTTCCTTCCTTCCTTTTTTGCTTCATACCCTGGGATGCACAGGGGTTACTCCTGGCTTTGCACTCAGGAATTACTCCTGGTGGTGCTTGGGGGGACCATATGGGATGCTGGGAATCGAACCCAGGTCAGCTGCATGCAAGGCAAATGCCTTACCTGCTGTACTATGGCTCCAGTCCCTCCTTCCCCTATTTCTGCCCCAGCTCCCCAACACTGTTATGCTAAGATGACCTGGGGCTTCAAGAAGTCCTTTGGCAGCACATTCATCAGGGCTGTGTCCTCGCTCATTATTGCTCAGTCCCTCCAGTGTCCCCTTTACCCAGAGGGCTATGGACTGTCTTCTCCCACCCTTCCCACTCACCCCGTACCCAACCATTATGGAGTTCCCTTGGTTCCACATTTATTATTTTATCTTCTCCCCATCCACTGCCAGAATCCGAGGACTGCCCCTCGGCTTCCTAACCCAGCACCTCCATTTCTTCCCCCTACAACTGGTTCTAAAGATATCCATCTCATTTTGGAGCTCTGGGAATATCCTTTTCCTGCCTTGGGAATGAAATAACTAGTTCCAGGGCTTGTGAGGACTGATCCATCCTTCCTTCCTTCCTTCCTTCCTTCCTTCCTTCCTTCCTTCCTCCCTCCCTCCCTCCCTCCCTCCTTCCCTCCCTCTTTCTTCCCTCTTTCTCTTCCTTCCTTCCTTCCTTCCTTCCCTCTTTCTCTTCCTTCCTTCCTTCCTTCCTTCCTTCCTTCCTTTCTTTCTTTCTTTCTTTCTTTCTTTCTTTCTTTCTTTCTTTCTTTCTTTCTTTCTTTCTTTCTTTCTTTCTTCGCCACACCCGGTGATGCACAGGGGTTACTCCTGGATCATGCACTCAGGAATTATTCCTGGCGGTGCTCTGGGGACCATATAGGATGCTGGGAATCAAACCCAGGTCAGCTGCTGTGTAAGGCAAACGTCCTCCCCGCTGTGCTATCACTCCACCCCCCCCCCCCCATCCTTTGTAGTGGAGGCTGCGGGAGGTTCTACTACGATCTCTCCAGAGATTCCTAATGGAACTCACCCGGTCCCCCAGGCATCCCATGTGAATGCAGCCAACTCAGGAAGGCCATCGGGGAGATGGACAACCAGGTCACCCAACTGACAACGGAACTAAAATTCATAAAAAATGGTAAGTTCACGGTGCTTTCCCTGCCCCCGGTGCCCTGGCCCGCCCCGACCCCGGTCTGGCCTGGAGAGTGGCCCCGAGCAGCGTTTCCCTGTCCCTCTCACCCACTCGCCCTCTGCGTCGGTGCGTTTTTTCGTGCGTGCAGATGGCCCTGAGTTTGGTTACAGACACGCAAGTGCTCACTTTTCAGCACTGCCCTCCCCCGCAGCTGTTGCCGGAGTGCGAGAGACGGAGCACAAGATCTACCTGCTGGTCAAGGAGGAGAAGAGGTACGTGGACGCGCAACTGTCGTGCCAGGGCCGCGGAGGCACCCTGGGCATGCCCAAGGACGAGGCCGCCAACAGCCTCATGGCCAGCTACATCACGCAGGCCGGTCTGGCGCGCGTCTTCATCGGCATCAACGACCTGGAGCGGGAGGGCACCTTCATCTACTCTGACCGCTCGCCCATGCAGACCTTCAACAAGTGGCGCAGCGGGGAGCCCAACAACGCCTACGACGAGGAGGACTGCGTGGAAATGGTGGCCTCGGGTGGCTGGAACGACGTGGCATGCCACATCACCATGCACTTCATGTGCGAGTTTGACAAGGAGCACGTGTGAGCAGAGCCTGGCCGACCCCGGCCTGGTCTCCTATATTCCCCTATATTCGTGGCCAACAACGCAGGGCCCCTCGGTGGACCTGAAAATTCATTCCCAGTGTGTTATGCGCGTCCTATGGACAGAGGTTCTTTAATTGAAGGCTATTTTTCCCATCCCAAATCTCGAAGCACGGTATAAACTTTATAGGCTTAGGAAGGTGCAGGAGAAGTGTTTTTCTGGAGCGTCTTTTCGGAGAAAGTCATTTTATTACTTGTAATCAAAATGCTCATTCTGTAAGCATGGAATTGCGCTTGCTTTTGTCCACACTATAAAAATCAATGCTTTAAATATCACCATAGTTAAGTACAAAAAGTGGTAGTGGAATCTTACGTAACCAGCAACCTTTACATTTTTTAATATGGAAAAAAATCCCACCAAATTCTGACCTCTTTTTGTAAATTGTATTAAAGCATGTTCCTTTTCACTGTTGTCTAATTAGCTGGTTTTTAAAAAAAATTTTGTTAATGAATCGCCGTGAGGAACACTTACAGATTTACAAACTTTTATACTTGCTCTTCAGTCATACAGTGGTCGAGTACCCATCCCTCCAGGAGTGCCCATTCTCCACCAACACTGATCCCAGCTTCCCTCCCACCACCCCCACCCCATCCCCTCCACCCTACCCTGCCTCTGTGACAGGGCATTCCCTTTTGTTCTCTCTCTCCTTATGGGTGTTGTTGTTTGCAGTAGAGGTATTGAGTGGCCATCATGTTCAGTCTATAGTCTACTTTCAGCATGCATCTTCCATCCCGAGCAGGTCCTCGCACCCTTTACTTGGTGGTCCCTTCTCTATCTGAGCTGCCTTTTTCCCCAGCATGTGAGGCCGGCTTCTAAGCCATGGAGTAATCTTCCTGGTACTTATCTCTTCTGTTCTTGGGTGTTAGTCTCCCATTTGTTACTTTATATTCCATAAATGAGTGCAATCTTTCTATGTCCCTCTCTTTCTGACTAACATGATACTTTTCATGTTGATCCACCTATATGCAAGTTTCATTACTTCATCTTTTCTAACAGCTGCATAGTATTCTATTGTGTAGATGTACCAAAGTTTCTTCAACCAGTCATCTGTTCTCAGGCACTCGGGTTTTTTTTTTTTTTCCCAGATTTTGGCTATTGTTAACAGTGCTGCAATAAACATATAAGTGCGGATGTCATTTCTACTGTACTTTTTTGTATCTCCAGGATATATTCCCAGAAGTGGTATTGCTGGGTCAAATGGGAGCACAATTTCTAATTTTTTTAGAAGAGTCTATATTGTTTTCCAAAAGGGCTGAACCAGTCAGCATTCACATCAGCAGTGAAGGAGAGTCCCTTTCTCCTCATATCCATGCCAATACTGGTTACTTTTGTAGAACTGTTTTTTTTTTTTTTTGGAAATGTCTTTCAAACCCAGACTTCAGGAAAAGGAGAAAGAAATTCTCCAAGTTTAACAACTGAATACAGTATCTAACTCACCTGAGAAAACACACAGACACAAAAATGCAAAGGAAAGTAGGAATGGTGGGGAAAAAGGGGCTGGTTCTTGCAGTGGGGAGGGCACAGTGGGGTGTCTCTTATGTCTCTGTGTGTTTTGGGGAGAGGAGACCTGACCACCATCTAATTGCTCTGGATGATCTTTTTAAAATTTTACTTTAATTTTTATTTTATCTTTTATCTTTTTGGGCCACAAACCAAAGGTACTCAGGGCTTACTCCTGGCTCTGCACTCAGGGCTCAGGAGAACCATATGTGATACTAGGGATGAAATATGGGACAGCTGCATGCAAGTCAAGTGGCCCACCTGCTGTACTATCTTCCTGGTCTCTATCTATCTATCTATCTATCTATCTATCTATCTATCTATCTATCTAGGCTTTTTGGGTCACAGCTGGCGATGCTCAGGGGTTACTCCTGGCTGGCTCTGCATTCAGGAAGTACTCCTGGTGCTCAGGGGACCATATGGGATGCTGGGATTCAAAACCAGGTCGGCCGCATGGAAGGCAAACACCCTACCCACTGTGCTATTGCTCCAGCCCCAACTCATCTTCACTGTCACTGTCACTATCCTCCCGTTGTTTATCGATTTTCTTGAGCAGGCCCAGTAACGTCTCCAGTGTGAGACTTTGTTGTTACTGTGTTTGGCATATCGGATACGTCACGGGGAGCTTGCCAGACTTTGCCGTCGGGCGATTTTTAAATAAAAAAAATAAGAAAGAAAAACAAATCATTGGACAGGGAGATAGTTCAATGCACTGAGAGGAGGCATTGCATGTGGGAGGCCCAGGTTTGATCCCTGGTACCCCATGATCCTCTGATCACTGCTAGAAGTAGACACTGAACAAAAACTTGAGAGCACGAGAAGACCAGTGCCTGTGGGAAGAATTGCCCACTGATCCACAGCTCCACGTAGAGAAAAAAAAAAAAAACAACCTGGCATTTTCCACCAGTCTCCTCCAACCAGAGGACCCAGTTCTCTGGCTGCACATCTCTCATAGGAACCCACTTTCCACTCCGTAAAGACTATCCATTCAAGCAGGTACAGTTCAGACATGTTACTAAATTGTTCATTCCGATGTGACTTCATTGAAAGAGTAAAAAAGAATAGTAATAAATAAATGCCAGCACCCTTCCTTACACCCCCTCCAGCCCTCTACCACCTCCCACCCGCTGTTCTGGGTCATCCTTGGAGGGATGCTTGAGTAGGGAGTAGCCTGGAAAGGCAGAAATGGTGTCTGCTCTGCTGCCCTGGCTGGAGGAAAGGGCAGGTCTGTGACAGGCAGAGGCAGGCAGTTCTCCCTGGTGGCCGAAACCAGGTCCTACTGCAGGGGGAAGGGCCAGCTTGCTTCATCACTGGTCTGTAGGCTCCCCTCCAGTCACTGACAACTGCATGCGTGGGCATTATCTAGAGCTTTCCACATGCTCCTTTGGGACTGAAGCTTTAGGGCACAGGTAGAATCCTGACACACTGGCCACTGCTATAATGGCAGGCAGAAGTCTTTGTCTCTCCTTCAACCAGAGGACCCAGTCTCCATGAAGCTGGGGCAGGCTCTCTGGGCAGGCTTAAGTGGAGAAACAGCTTCACCATTCTTGAGAGTAGTTTCTTGAGGTTCCACGCATTCACTGAACTACCTCATCAGAAGGGTCACTGTCACTGTCCTCCCGTTGTTCATCAATTTGCTAGAGCAGGTCCAGTAACATTGTGAGACTTGTTACTGTGTTTGGAATATTGAATATGTCATGGGTAGCTTGCCAGGCTTTGCTGTGTGGGTGAGATACTCTTGGTAGCTTGCCGGGCTCTCCGAGAGGGGCAGAAGAATCAAACTTGGGCCGGCTGTCAGCGGTGCGCAAGGCAAACACTCTACCTGCTGTGCTATCGCTCCAGCCCATCAGAAGGGTGAAACGAACAACTTAGTGACATATTTGACCTGTGCCTGATTTGGTTGGACAGCTGTTCTTTGTCTTTGTGGGGAGGAAAGTGGGTTCGATTGAGGGATGTCTAGCTAGAGAGAAATGAGGCCTCATCATCTCCTTGTGGAAGGACTAAGGTGGAAAGCGGCTAAGGTGTTTTTTTGGTTTTCTCTGCGCAGAGCTGCGGATCAGTGGGCGATTCTGCCCAATGACACTCACCTTCTCATGCTCTCGAGTGATTGCACCCATCTGTCACCATATGTCTGTTCTCCTTCCCACTCAGTCACTGAATAGACCTGTCATTGGTGTCTACTGCTTCTGACTCTTTCAGAGCCAGAGTCGATGGCTTGGCAGTCTAGCCAGCATCTGGAGACTAGGATGAACTGGGCAGATTGGTGTGTCAGAAGGAATCACTGAGCAGATGGTTGCCGTGGAATGAGGACAAGAAATCAGTCAGCCCTTCTCTTTCTCAGCTGAGATTGTGCTGAGAGACTTCTGACGTGCATTTGAGGAGGCAGGGTTCCCACACCAATTAGTCCTCACTGTGACCTGCTTCCCCACTGGTATGCTTAGAGCAACCTTTGGAGGACAAGACCCAGTGAGACAGGGAGTGTGAGTTTGTTCTGGAGATGGAAATTTAACAGAATAAGGGGCCAGTGAGATAGTACAGTGAGTAGGGTGCTGGTCTTGCATGCAGTCTACCTGGATCCAATCTCTGACATCCCATATAGTCCCCTGAGCACTGCTAGGAGTAATTCCTGGGTGCAGAGCCAGGAATAATCCCTGAACATTGTTGGATATGGCCCCTGAACAAAACAGAAAAGAAAATTTAACAGAATACCATACGCTGGTGGTAAAACAAGAAGTGAAAATCTTTACTCCTATCTTCCCAGTCAACTTGGCTGGGATTGGAAGTTAGTTTTTGTTTATTGGTCTTTAGCACAGTGGTAAGGCGTTTGCCTTGGATGCAGCCAACATGTCGACCTGGGTTCGATTCCTCCGCCCCTCTAGGAGAGCCCAGCAAGCTATTGAGAGTATCTCGCCTGCACGGCAAAGCCTGGCAAGCTACCTGGCAAGCTACCGACTTATTCAATATGCCAAAAACAGTAACAACAAGTCTCACAATATGTTGTGAGACATAACTGGTGCCCGCTTGAGCAAACTGAACAACGGGAGGACAGTGCTACAGGTCTTTAGATAGAAAATATTCCAATGTATATAAACAAGCATATACGTCATTATTATTATTTATTTTTTCTTTTTTGGGTTACACCTGGCGATGAACAGGGGTTACTCCTGGCTCTGCACTCAGGAATTACTCCTGGCAGTGCTCAGGGGACCATATGGGATGCTGAGAATCGATCCTGGGTCGGCCGTGTGCAAGGCAAACGTCCTACCCACTGTGCTATTGCTCCAGGCCCTGTCATCATTTATTTAAATTTTTATTAGTGAGACACCATGTGGTACAGTTGTAGACTTACAAATTTTGTGCTTGGGTTTCAATTATACAATGATCAAATACCCATCCCTCCACCAGTGCCCATTTCCCACCACCACAGATCCCAGTATCCCTCCCACCCCCCATCCCCCCAAGATGGATCACAAGTGTTTATGTTCTCCTTGCCATTCTTTTTTTTTTTTTTAAATTATTCAATGTCTTGGTTCAGGAATCACACTCAACAGTTGGGGAGTGCTCTCAGTGTTGCTTGGAGGACCATGTGGTGCTGGGGATTGAACCTGGTTGAGTGGAATGCTCAGCCCATTGAGCTATGTCTCTGCCCCCTCCTTGCCATCCTTATTGATAATGTATCTTGAAGTTGGTCAGGGAGGCCCACCTTGCTCTCTCCAGTCTGCTGCCTCATCCCCACAGTGGATCACTCAGCAGCTTTGATGCATGTTGCAGTTGTTTTCACATCTTCACTCTTACAGATGGTGCTGCATATTCAGGGGCTCAATGTGCCTCTAGGTGACATGTGAGAGTTGACTAGCAGGACAGAAATAGACCTGGAAATGGAATGACCACTGTAAATATTTCAGC